GTGGGCATTGAAGTTTCTGTTTTATTATCCCAGCAGTCAACCATATCTGTCTGGAGCCCAAAAGGAAAAGAAAAAAAAAGAGCCACTCTTCTGGCCTTTGCAGCTTGTCTCTGAGCCGGGGCACTTCTTCAACATTGAGCTAGACTGCCTACTGTGTCTTCACCTTCCATTTCCTACCTGTTCCAAACTCAGAAGTGCAAATCTAGGGTCCTCTCAGATCTTTTCTGAGCATGCGTCTGGTCTTGGGCATACGTTTTGCACTCTGGTTTCCATGGTGTATGTAGCGGCCCTTCCAAGCCCTTATTTCCATAAGAAACGTCTACTGTAGCTTCTTACTTCCCAGTCTTTTAGGTGTGTCTGCTGATTTCTCTGTTTTCTGTACTTTGCCTGCTAGTATATGTTTTTAATCTTTTAGTAGATGCTCAGAAAGCTACTCTAGGGTGGATGGGGTTGTGAAATAAAGGTTTAGCTTCTGCATCAGTTCCTTAGGGAACTGCCAGGCAGGTGAAAACACACAACTGTAGTATTTTAACAACAAGGCCTATATTAACCCCTTGACAACCAGTAAGCTACTCCAGGAATATAAGCTTCTATCTCTACAACCAACAATTTGGGGAATGGGAGATAGTAGACAGGTAAACAAAAATTTCACAATGCTTTCATATTGAAATTGAGCCACCTTTTTTTTTCTCCATTAAGCAATTCCCTGGTTGCTTCAAGTTTTTGATTCCAGAGTTGATTCTGTCAGTTCTTGCCAGCTAATGATTGTTTTAGTGCAGCGGTTCTCAACCTGTGGGTCGCGACCCCTTTGGCGGTCGAACGACCCTTTCACAGGGGTCGCCTAAGACCATCCTGCATATCAGATATTTACATTATGATTCATAACAGTAGCAACATTACAGTTATGAAGTAGCAACGAAAATAATTTTATGGTTGGGTCACAACATGAGGAACTGTATTTAAAGGGCCAGAAGGTTGCGAACCACTGTTAGTGGAAGGACTAATTCTTTGAGTGTCCTGCTCCACTGTTTTCTTTGACATTATTCCTGAGTTGTAAGTTTTATATTAACTTTAATGTAGTCTTTTGGTAGGTAAACTTGATAAATTGATTTATAGTATGTTGCTTCCCCTCTTACTGTGATTCGTCACTGAAACTTTGCTTTTTAAAGTTTCTGAATTATTAAACTTATGTACAGACTTGTAAAAAAGAACAACTTTGGAAATGGAGATTTTAAATTAGTTGTTGAAAGAAATTGAGTAGAATGTTGAAAAAGCTGTATGATATGTTTGTGGAATTTAGAAACATTCCTATTCTCTAAAAACTAATTGATATAATCATGATGTATATTTCTGTAACTATATTATTATTACAAAGCTCAGCAAGCCACTCCATACTAAGAGCACTGGGAGTGTTTGTTCTCTTAGATAGTATAATCTTGAGCTCCACTTAGTGTTCTGTTGTCTTATTCTGATATTTCAGTGGTAAAAAAGCAGTGTGAGCTGAGGAATTCTATTCATGTTTATAATGCTGAAGAGAAATAACCTTTTTTCTCACTAAATCACTAGAATTTAAAAAGACAACGTGGGAGAGTTAGAAATAAGACTTAATTAGTGTCTTTATTTAAAATTCTCATTTCATGTTGGTAGGAAAGAAAACTGTTGCAAAAATAAATCCCTTTTTGAAATTTGTTTTCTTTTAATTCTTAATGAAATATCTTCAAAATCATTGTTAACTGAATGGTGGCCTTTGGATTACTGGCAGCGATTAAGTTGAATCTGTGTACTTACATCAGAAAGTTAGCAATTTATGCAAGCATTTATCATGGGATGAAGTCCATTTCATGTAGTCTTTTTAGTAGTTTGTAATACTTGCTTGATTCTGATTATTAATAAGCTAGAGCTTTTGAAGAATTTTTAATTACATTTTTGTTCATTTCAATAAATAATAAGAGGAATCTTATTTTTGAAAGCAAAAGTAAGAAATTTTATCATGATCAGGTAGCTGCACATGAATATTTTGGAAGATTCTTTTCAGGAGGAAAAACTTTCTGATTTATTTTTAATTCTAGAGTAGAGAGGTGATTGACTTGGCAACATACAATATACCAAGATGTTCTTTAGTTTGATAACCTATTTGTAGCTTCCAGTTATTCCATATCCTAATATATAAAAAGCCAGGGGTCATCATGACAGAAACAACCGGACAGATGACCGAACAGCCGGCTGAGTGGGGCGACCAGGCTGGCGGGGTGTGGGGGGCAATTGGGGGTGACCAGGCCAGCAGGGAGGGGCAGTGAGGGGTGACCAGGCTGGCAGGGGGGGCAGTTAGGGGCAATCAGGCTGGCAGGCAGAGGCGGTTAGGGGGGGATCAAGCTGTCAGGGGGTGGGCAGTTAGGAGCCAGCGGTCCCGGTTTGTGAGAGAGATGTCCTGGATTGGAGAGGGTGCAGGCTGGGTTGAGGGGGGACCAGGCTGGTAGGGGGGGCAGTTAGGGGCAATCAGGCTGGCAGACAGAGGTGGTTAGGGGGTGATCAAGCTGTCAGGGGGTGGGCAGTTAGGAGCCAGCGGTCCCGGTTTGTGAGAGGGATGTCCCGGATTGGAGAGGCTGCAGGCTGGGTTGAGGGGGACCCCCCGCTCCCCAATGCACGAATTTCATGCACCGGTCCTCTAGTTAACTATAATGAAAAGCAATCACTTTGTCTTTCAGGAAACCTTTGTGACTGACATTTACTTTCTACCTAATGTTTTATAGGAATAATCCTGAAGTTTTTCAACCGTTTTTATTCTGTAGGTGAATATTCAGATTGTGAATTATATATGCATTTCTATTTTTCTTTATATTCTGACTTTTAAGCTGCATTGTATCTTATTCACATCAGAGTGCCTAAGGAAGAATGAAGAGAAAGTGAAATATAATCAGTTTTCCTATTCATTAACTCCTGAAGGTTTAATGTTTAATCCAGCAATTTTCAACTGTTATGCCATAAGAATTTTTAAAACATGCAATATCTATTTAGTCAGGGGTACTGACCTCTCTTCCCTTATATTGTCAAATTAAAAAACGACAACAACCAACACAACAATAGCTGTCTGGTGTGAATGAATCAAAATTATACCTATTTTTTTTTTGTCAGGCAAAAATGTAATATTTTTTGATGTGCCATAGAATTTTAGTAATTAGTTTACTAGTATGTGCTGAGATGAAAAAGGTTGGTTTAAACTTGTGGCTAGAAGGTATGGAACTGGCTGGTTCTTTGATTTCATTTTATCCTACCTTTCTCTCATGAATGAAATGAATAAGTGACTGTTCTATCCTCTCAGATTAATTAAATTGTGACCTTGTTAAACTGTAATAGGCTGCCAAATTTATTAAATACCACTCTTCTTTGAAATGAATTTCTTTCCTTCAGAACTGCTTCCTGTTAAAACTCTAATCACCATTAAGAGAAAATAACTTGTAACTTAGAAAATATTCTTGTTCAACAGACAGTTGAGATCTATGCAGTTTGCTAAGTTGGTTGTATGATTTAGACAAATTTTATTGATAATATATTCTTGGTCATTTGAGTTTTAAGAATTTATAATTATATAGAAAAAAAAGATAAGGATCCAAAGCCCCTGGTTCCTCCCCATCAATTTGTACACTCGATAAGACTGATTGCTTTTGTGCTAAAAATGATATGCCTTTTTTTGTCTTCAGGAAAATCTGATTTGAACAAAAATTCTCACTCTCAAATGGTTATTACACTGCTAAGGCTGACACTTATGAGCTAGGTTACTGTTGGAGCCAATAAATCCATGCATTTCTTCTCTTTTTAAAAAGTCATTATTTTTATACTCCTTGTCCCTATAGATAACCACCTTATATTAGTATTTATTCATATTTGAGATTTACATTTAAAGTAAAAAGTCTTCGGTGGGAAAGCACAAATTTTACCTTCCTCAGAGGAGCTCAATAGATGTATACATGTTTTGTTTGCTTTTAAATATTAGTACGTCTCTTTTCTAATTAAGAGCTCAGAAAATTAACATAAAGCTCTGATTTTTGTAACAAGCATTAAAGAGGAGATTGTTCAATAAAATAACCTTTTTGTTTGACTTTTTTAAGTCACAGAAATATATAACTTTAAAAATATATCTTTGCATAATGTCTTCTAGAAGTAGTTCTAAAACGGGAGGAGAAATAATATGCAAATTGATCTGCTAAGTAATTGAAAGAAACTGGACTTAATCTGTCAACATTTGGTTTTCATGTCAGTAGCTTACTATCTATGTGATATTGAGTGATTACTTAATCTTTTAAAGTGTCTATAAAATAGGGATAATAATAACAATAATAGTACTTGCCTTATTGGAATTGTTAGTAGCTAAGAAATTGTTAGTAGATTGAACCGCGTCTAGCACGGCCAGTGGTGAACCTGAGGAGGGGCGGTGAAGGATTAAAGAAAATAGACAAGAGAATATAGTTGGGGCCAGGCAGGTCACTGCACCTAGATGAGGACACAGTGATACCAGGAAGAATTTCATGAAAACTGAGCCCAAATGATGAAATTATTTCTTTCTCAGTAACTTTTATACCTTTTATTCATACTTCTCATTCTGTTGTGGTTGGTTTTAATCTGCCAAACACATTTTCAGAACTTTAGGGCATGGCAAAATTAGGAAATAATATTTTATCATGAGAGTTGAGTTTTCACTAAAGATTAAGTCTCTGCTAAGTGTCTCTTTTTCTCTAGTTACATTTTGAAATTTAGATTAGTCTTGTCTCATGATACAGCATTCTACTTTGCATGTCGGATTTTGTTGACAACTTAATTTTTAAATATGGTTGTACTTATTCTGGTCTTCTACTTTAGAGTACTAGATATGATAAAAGACTAGGATAATTAATAGAAAAGGGGATATTTGATGAAGAAGTGAGGGTTACAAACTCTCGAGATGTTAAATGTAGCACAGATAGTCTTCATCCTTGAATGTAATGGAATGCTTTATGTTCCCCAAGTCTGTGGATCTTTCCATTGATGAGTCCAGCTTGACAGGAGAGACAACACCTTGCTCTAAGTTGACAGCTCCTCAGCTGGCTGCGACTAATGGAGATCTTGCATCAAGAAGTAACATTGCCTTTATGGGAACACTGGTCAGATGTGGCAAAGCAAAGGTAATTTTTTTCTTGATTTGAAAATAGCGATTCCTTTTTATTTTCAACCATTTTTTCATTTCTTTTTTGCTAATTTTATGTGAATCTTTAAAAAATGTGAGACAGAAACAACAGAATTAAACCTAACCCTTGGCAGCTATTTGGGAGGCTGAGGAGAAGCCCCTGAGGTATAACATCTGTCCACAGTTCTGCCATTATCTAATGCATCCTTTAAAGGCATAGTCCTCAATAGTCCTCAGCACTTGTTCTTTTTTTTTAAGATAGAAATAGTGGCTCATAGATATGTTCATTTCTGGTTAAATATAATTTGAGCTTATTTGATAGGGTACTGGCTGCATACTATTCACCTAATGATTGATTACAAATATTTTGTTTCTGGAGTCCAATATTTCACAGATGTAAAAGGCATCATTCAGTAGCATTTGAGGGGACAAAGATATCCTACTTTAAATGTCTCTGTTGAGTATAAGATTCAAATTTCAGTAATATTAATATAAAAAATGGGCTTCAAAATTGAATCAAAAGTAAATTTAATGAAAATTTTTTTCAAGGTTTGTATAACAAGGTATAAATAAATACTAATGATCTCTAGTAACATTTGCTAAGGAATCCTTGGATATGTATATCATATCTTTACTATAGGCAAGACTTTGGAAAAATGGGATGAAGGTTTTATTGTTATTGTTGAGGGAGGATTCCATCTGAATGTAAATATATTTTCCTGTTTTTTTCCCTTAGGGTGTTGTCATTGGAACAGGAGAAAATTCTGAATTTGGAGAAGTTTTTAAAATGATGCAAGCAGAAGAAGTGAGTACTTAGTTTGTTAATGATGCATTCGTTTCAAATCTGACATTCTCCATTGTAAGTAAAGAAAAAAGAATATTGGTAGATTATTTTATGTATTATTGACAGTAAAATTTTATTCAGAATATCACTCAGTTGTCTATGCTTAAAAACATAATTGGAAAGCCTGTGATTGGAAGGGCTTGAATTGGCATTGTTTATATTCTAAAATATTTTTATACTTATTTTTTGTTTATAGGATAAAAATTTTTATAGCTTATTTATAGGGCGAAGTCTTTTGGAAATGAACTTTATCATATTACCTTTTTTTAAAAATAATAGTTTACTGATTTTTAGAGAGAGAAAGGGAGAGGGAGAGAGAGGAACATCGATGTGAGAGCGCAACATTGATCAGCTGCCTCCTGTACTCCCTCCACCCTCTCCTACCTGAATAGAGCCTGCAACCTGGGCATGTGCTCTTGACCGGAAATAGAACTGGCAGCCTCCTGGTGCAGGGATGATGCCCAACCAACTGAACCACACCAGCCAGAGCGATCATATTAATTTTAAAGATTACTAAATAGTATATTTGTACCTCAGAACATGTCTTCTACCAAAATTCCCAACTTTACATAATTCCAAATAATGGGAAAAAAGATTCCAAAGTAAAATAATCTGGAAGATATTCTTGCTTAAGGATTTTGAAGATTAGTTCTTTTATTTAAAGTACTTTCTTATATATAAAAAAGAAGTTGCCCTCTACAAATATATTCTCCCTAGGTCATGTGGATTTCCCAGGTAACATGCCAAGACTCTAGTGTTCATGATGCAGTGTATAAACCATTCTCAGAAGCTTGGCAGTGAAAAGACCACTAGAAAAGGGCATTAGCAGATCAAGGAACCAACAGAGTAGAAAGATTTGGGATACAAGCATGTTTGTGGATACAGAAAGGAGAAAGATGGGAAATGTAAGGGGCAGTGATGGTAATGAAGTCCTGGAGAAGCTGATTGGAAGAATAGGTTTTTCCTCCAAAGAGAGGCATAGAGGGGAGCATGGACCTTTTCAGATAAACAGATATTTCAGTTTCCTCAGTGAAGGGGGTCATATTTACCTTAAGGGAGAGTTGTATGTATTAAGCACTAGCATGGGTATGTCAAGCACTTAACAAAGTCCATGGCACCTAGTGTATCTCACTAAGTTTAGCTAATTGTAGTTACGCACTTTTCCAATTTGTCAAGGCACCGAAAACCCCTCTGCAGAAGAGCATGGACCTCCTAGGAAAGCAACTTTCCTTTTACTCCTTTGGTATAATAGGTAAGAGAAGAGTGAGTATGTATCTCATATATTTACTTAGGTTTTTATTTTTTTTAGTATGAAGGGGTAGTTTACATACATGCATACATACATACATTTATTCATTTAATTAATTTACTAATTTTTAGTTTTATTACTACTTTTTAAAAATTACAAAACTATCCCTTAGCATTGTTCTTTTCTACAAAGATAAAACAGAACTCTGTTTAGTTTTGTGCAGTGGCAGTATCGTAGCCAGTGAGGTTTATTTGAGGCGCGATTATTGCTAATTGGAAAAAAAAAAAAAAACCACAAAAAAAACAACAACCAGAACTCTTTTTAATTCCTATAATTAAAGAGCATTTTTGTAAACAGTATTTTTTGTCTTCAATAAAATGTGATAGTATTGAATTATGGACTACTTTTTTTATTTCACTTAATTCTGTCATAAACATCTTGTCATTAAAACAAATTTAAAATTTGTATAGTATTCCATTGTGCATTCTTGCCATCTTTGTTGTCATTAACTTAAAGGGGAATAAAAGACTTTTCATTATTTTATTTCAGAATTCAATATTAGAATAACTGAACACTTTGTCATATGTGTATTGGTCCATTTTTATGACCTTCCAGTCTATTTCTTTGGCCCTTCTTTTGTTGTGGCTTGAGTCTCAGATTGGTAACAGCTCTTTGTATAATTAGGATATCAGTTCTTTTTTATTTTAATGTTATGAAAATTTTTCTCCAGTTTTACTCACACACACACACATACAGGAATATATACACATGCATATATGGTATAATTCATTGACCATAATTTATTTTTGTTAGGAGAGTATTTGGGATAGGATCTTAGAAGGTCATGATCTAGAGCATTATTTTGCAGTTCTAGAAAGATGAAGATAAACTTGTTTAAATATTTATATTGATCTAGAATACAATCTCGAAGTTGCTTTATTAAAACTCTGGTTATACTGTATTTTTCCTCATAAAAACAGTAGTGCACCCTTTGCACCCCTTTTTTTCAAAGACAAAGGTTAAAGCAGAGAATATGAAATCAGTTGTTTCACTTGTGTTAGTTGATTTTTTATTTTTAAATACCATAAAAGTAGTAATTTTTAAATATTAAAGCAGTTTTAGATGTCTTAGATAAGATACATCATTCTTTGAGCCAAGTCCTAAATACTTCTTCATTTGTAATACAAGGTTAATACGGAATGTATGCATATTGAGTTAGCAGAAGTAAAGTTTCTGGGTTTATTGTTGCAAAGCTGATAATAAGTAGAAGACTTATATGTCTTATGTGACCTTTTCCCCCTTCATTGTATGAAAGTACTAGTACTATTTTTTTATACTGGGAGTTCGCAGATATTATGCTTTAAGGGATGGGTACTAGCAATGGCAACAAAAGGTAAAATGTGTGTACAGTATTTGTGTGCATGTGTGCATCACAGCAGTAACTTTAATCTCCTGCTTACTACATTTTTGTAGAATCTTGTAATCACTTCCTAGTATACTTTCCCCTTTAATATCAAGGAATATTTTGCTGCCCTCAGTTTCTATCCCTTCTATGCCTAAGTCATTTTATATAAAAAAGAAAAATTGCTGTTTGATTCTGTTGCAGGTATCATCATGTTGGTTGGCTGGTTACTAGGAAAAGATATCCTGGAAATGTTTACTATTAGTGTAAGGTAAGTTCTAATGGTTATAAATGGAAGTCTCTTTTGCTCTTCTCATTTCTCTGGTAGGTATAGCATATGTTCCATTGTGGAGGTATTATATGAGCACATACAGTATAGTACCTCTACTTAAATAATTCAGAATTCATATATTGAAATGAATTAAAACCAACATATATGACAGTGGAGAAAACCTATATTAGATGTCTGGTATTATCAACCCATTATTGCATTTTTATATGTAAATGGAGTTAAGGATTGACAAATAAAAACTAGCAGCATGAAAAAGGAGGACCACAATATAGAAACTGAATAATTAATTTTAATGCAAAAATGAAAAAAAATCAAGAAATAGAAGAACAATTAAAAGTAAACAGCATTTGTAATTTCAGAGATTTGTGAAGAAACTGCATTCATGATAGATTACTATAGAAAAGTATACAGAACAAAAAAAGAACTTTTAGAAATTAAGATTATGATTGCTGAAATTAAAATTTCAATTTAAGGGGTGTAATATACAGTTGAAAGGTCCTCCCAAAAAGTAGAGTAAAAATTCCAAAACAGAAATGAGATAAAAGTGTCAAAGAGAATAATTCAATAATTACCATATTTAACTAATAGAAGTTTCAAAAAGAGGTAAGAAGAAATTATATAAGAAATGATGCATTAACATTTTCTCAATCTGAGGTGAGACATGAATCTTTATAGTTTGGAAGGATTCTCCAAATGCTCAGCAGGATGAAAAAAACTCCCAACTAAATTCAGTCATTGTGAAACAAAAGAAAAAAACAAGTCAGGTCATCTACGAAGGAAGTCTAATTAGGTATCAGACTTCAAATTAGCAACTGCAGTTCCCATCACGGTCTTTTTAGGCTCTAATAAACATTTCTACTCATACGACTTTTATAGATCTCATCTGGTACCTGTGCCCAGTTATGTGCCCTGACCTGGAATCAAGCATAGCCAGGCAACTTCAGGCATCCCTCTTCTGAGACAGTCCTTGCAACAGTTTGTGCAGTTCAGCTTAGGTGCAAAAAATGAGATGACCTTCTGAGTGCGGGAACTACACTGGGTTAAAATGCTCCATATTCCACAGGACCCAATATCTCTGGAAACACATTTTTCATGGTGCCTGCAAGAAACACGTCTAGTTAGTTATGAGTCACTACTCTCAGGAAACCCAACCTATGGCTTCCTGTTAAATAATTATAATTCTCCCAGTCCATAGACAGTTTACCAGTCAGGAGGTGTTGCCTAACAACATAGTTGACATGCTACCTTTTATCAGGTCACTAGGAGAACAGAGCTAGAGATTTAATGAATACAGAAGGGGGAAAGAATTTTATTAATCCTTCATTCACAGCAACATTGGATTACTACACTGGGTTAAAATGCTCCATATTCCACAGGACCCAATATCTCTGGAAACACATTTTTCATGGTGCCTGCAAGAAACACGTCTAGTTAGTTATGAGTCACTACTCTCAGGAAACCCAACCTATGTCTTCCTGTTAAATAATTATAATTCTCCCAGTTTATAGACAGTTTATCAGTCAGGAGGTGTTGCCTAGCAACATAGTTGACATACTACCTTTTATCAGGTCACTAGGAGAACAGAGCTAGAGATTTAATGAATACAGAAGGGGGAAAGAATTTTATTAATCCTTCATTCACAGCAACATTGGATTACATTTGAAGACGACGGGGCAGTACTCTGAAAGTATGGGGGGAGATGATTTTAAGTCTAAATCTAGTCCTGGCTAAAGTATCAATCCAGTTAATTATAAATAGATAGGCAGGTAATCAGAAAATTTATTCCTTACCTATCCTTGTATGAATTACGGAAAAACAAGGGTGAAAGAAAGGAAGATGATGATGTGTGTGGTGTAAAGTAAGAGTGAAACTCGCCTTGGCATCTAAAGAAAATAAATGTAGGAAATAATAGTTTAAGAATTAGAGAAAAATCAATGGATTAAGGCTCTGGCTGGGTAGCTCAGTTTGTTAGTGGTCATTCATAACAGTTGATGAGCAGTTAGTTGCATCTAAAGGACATTGCTCTGCCCAGCTGGTGTGGCTCAATGCTATGAACCAGGAGGTCACAGTTCGATTCTCAGTCAGGGCACATACCCGGTTGTAAACTTGATCCCCTGTGTGGGGCATGCAGGAGGGAGGCAGCCAGTCAGTGATTCTCTCTCATCGATATTTCTATCTCTCCCTCTTCCTTTCTGAAATCAATAAAAATATATTTAAAAAATAAAGGATATTGCCCATTTCAGATATACATATACCTTCAAATTGAGTAATACAGTTAATATTCAAGTGAAAATTTTCACAATCCATTTTCTTCTGCATATTATTCATAAAATGATTTAAATATAAAAGCATGAAAAGGTCCATTGGATCTGGATTGTAAATGATGATGCCTAGTTTTCCTGATATATGAGGGTTAATGAAAGCATAAGAAAAGAGAATTCTATTTGAACTTGAAATAATTCAAAAGAGAGAAGGAAGTATTAATGATAACACATATTTCTTGATTCTTCAGTGTACACTGTTTAGGCAGTGGTGTTGCAAGTGTTATTCATTGACTTTTAATTTTATAATCAACCTGTAAATAAAGCATGAAAAGTTAATTATGGTTATAGAACTGATTGCTAATGATATCAAGTTAGATCATATAAAAAAAGTAAGTATAGAAATTGGGAAGTAGAAACACAGGAGAGAACAGTGTTAGAATGAGGAATAGAAATGTATATTTCCTTATCTGTATTGGAATCAAGAGATAACACTTGAAATGGAATAAATAGAGATTAGATTATTTTTATAAAGGGAAACAATGAAGTGATTAATTTTTTTGTTATGATAAAATACACATACCCTAAATTTACTGCTTAAAATTGTACAGTGCAGTTAAGTATATTCATAATGTTGTGCAACCATTACCACTATTGTCGGAACTTTTTTATCACCCCAAAAGAAAACTCTGTTCATTAAACAATCATCCCCATTCTTGTCTCCCTTGTCCTTGGCAACCACTAAACTGCTTTATATGTATATGGATTTGCTAATTCTTGATATTTCATATAAATGGAAACATGTGTCCTTTTGTGTCTGGCTTCTTTCACTTAACATGATGTTTTTAAGGTTAATCCATGTTGAGCATGTATCAGTAATCCATTCCTTTTTATGGATGAATAATACTCCATTGTATGGATATACCACAGTTTCTCATTCATCAGTTGATGGACATTTGGGCTGTTTTCACCCTTTGGCTGTTGTGAATAGTGTTGCTGTGAACATTCATGGACAAGTTTTTTCTGAACATCTGTTATTGTTATCTATATTTGTAGATGAGGAAACTAAACTACAGAGCCGGAGAAATAATAGCTCAGGGCCACACAGGTAAAAATTGGTTAAGCTAGGGGTACAAACCTAAGCAATCTGATGTCAGAACTTATATTCTTTAACCACTGCTTAACCTGACAACTAGTAGGTGTCTAGTAAATGTTCACTTTCCCTTTCTTGTGAGGCCATTTTTGGGTATTGACAGTATTAATTTTGCATTTTTTTAGCCACTCTTTTAAGTAACAGACAATTGAAATTATTGTGTGGTTACTATTTAACTTAAACTTTAATACTATATATACATTGGTTACAGTTTGGCTGTAGCAGCAATTCCTGAAGGTCTTCCCATTGTGGTCACAGTGACTCTAGCCCTTGGTGTTATGAGAATGGTGAAGAAAAGGGCCATTGTGAAAAAACTGCCTATAGTTGAAACTCTGAGTAAGTCTGTGGAAAGAGCTTGCTTATACAATGATGTGTGTGTTTACACTAAGAGTGGATTATCTTTGGGTTTTATAATTTTTGTCTTAGAGGTTTGCATTGTGGTGTTTGACTTGTGGCAATGTGAGTATGGTTTTAGCAACCAAAAAGTAATTAAAAATGCATATCATTCAGGACAGGTAACTGTCAGAGAAATTTTTCTGCATCATGGAATGTTCTATTTCTTAAATCATGCTTTTAAAAAATCTGTATAACAGATGAAACCTTGGAGTAAAATAACTAGAGTTTTTTGGCAGCTCAAGAAAGATAATTGATAGTTATAGATCCTAAAAGGTCATACTTAAGTAGAATTCATTGATAAGAACAGTAAATATACAAGTTAAATTGCTATGATACAACTTTATATGTGATATGAAAACTGTGATAACTTTATATATGCTGTGAAACTTTTTTTTTTAATTTGGGAATCCAAGATTGTTGAATTTAAATTCTAGTTTGCATTTTATTATTGAAAAGGTAAAATACCTTCAAATACTGATTTAAAAAATTATATGGGTTTATATTTAGGCACCCTTAAAACTTTCTTGAAAAATCTATAATAATAAAGTAATATGCTAATTAGACCGACGACCTTCCAGACGAAGCTGGGACTATGAAGGAAGCCTGGGTCCTGGGTGCCTGCTGGAGGCAGGAGGGAGGCCTGGGTCCTGGGTGCCTGCTGGTGGCTGGAGAAAAGCCCGGGTCCCGGGTGCCGGAGGGAAGCCATGCTGGCAGCTGGGGGAAGGAAGGCCTACTCTTGCACGAATTTTGTGCATTGGGCCTCTAAGTGTATTATATAAAACTAGAGACTCAGTGTACAAAATTCGTTCACAGCCCAGCCTGCACCCTCTTGTAGTCCAGGACCCCTTGGGGGATGTCTGACTGCCTAAATCAGCAGTAAGACATCCCCCTGAGGCCGGGCTCATGGCTGGTGAGTGCAGAGGCGGTGGCGGGAGCCTCTCCAACCCTGTGGCAGTACTAAGGAGCAGCGAGCTGAGCAGTAAAGAGCAGCGAGCAGGCAGGCGGTAAGGAGCGAGGGGTCCTGGTCTGCTAGAGGGATATCCTCCTGCCGGCTTATACTCCTTACTGCTCGGCTCACTGCTGCTTTTTTAAAAAATATATATTTTATTGATTTTTTACAGAGAGGAAGGGAGAGAGATAGAGAGTTAGAAACATTGATGAGAGAGAAACATC